GTGGTGATTTGATGAGGAATCCGTGCTTGCAGACTTCACCTTCAGGGCAAAATGTATTTTGAATTCTCCCTAATCAAAAAGAAATGAACAGCACCATTACTTAATTTGTTGCCAATTTATCTTTTACAAAGACCTGCTTGAACTGGAAATTGTTGCTGAGGGCGGGGTTTCTGTGCTTAAATGGCCACAAACCATATCACAATTAGAGAAGAGAAACACAAATCAAGACTATAAAATACAGGGCCAGGTCCTGCTTCCCTGATATTAATTTTATGGCTACAACTGACACAAACTGTAAGCAAATGATAGTGAAAACGTAGAGGGCTCAGAAAATATCATGAGCCTCTGCCTTCTTTAAATGGTCTTATTTAACTTTTGGAGTCTGGTCTTATTTAGCTTCATAATTAGCGATCTGAAAGGCAGTAAACACACCCCTAATGCAGTTCATAGATGGCATTCAATCAGCTAAGGATAGATCATCTTAGACTGTGAATTGTGATGTCACAACAGGAAAAAGTCTTACAAGTAAAATTTGAGCTAAAACCCTACGGGGACAATACATAGATATGTTTGTTTGTGATCCTTCATACTTTGTGACCAGCTATAGTTTAAGATTCACATTTTTTAATCACTTGTGGATTTCTGATAAAAATGCACTTTAACATAACAAAAGCAGTGGCAATGTCATTCAGTTTTTTAACCTGTAAACCATGTATGGTGTGTTAAGATTTTTTAAGAAACCAGTGACAGAAAGGAACACAGGCAACCTCAGTTTGGATTTTCTAGTAAAGGACAGTAGACAATATGCATAACTTTCGGGAAATTTAACATGAACAAACTTTGTGGTCTTAAGTGGAGGCAAGGCTTTATCACCAGTGCCTTGGACATACTGACTGTACCTTCCAGTTCTTAGTTAATTTTTAAGGATTTTAACATTTTTAACAAATGTCAGTTCAATGTCTTTGTCAGGGTTTTTCACCTACTGTTTGCCACAAAATTCTTGAGACCGCTGGGGAGTAAAGAGAATGGTATCATACATTGATAAGAATGGATTGAAACCTAATTCAAATTTACTCCTGACAAAACTTAGTAAACGAAATTTTGTACCTGCAGAATTTCTTTTATTTGTAGAAGCCATCCTGATGATTTCTTCCACCCAGATGGTAAAAAGAACAAAAATACTGAAGCTAATTCCTTTCACTTTGCTTGCTGCTGAGCAGTATTTCACTGCACACAGAGTTGCTGCTGAGAAAATAACAAATATCTTACAAGCGTTAATTTTCATACTGATGATTTAATTATATAAAATAAATATAGGAAGATATCTAATAAGCCATATGTATAATTATAATAGTTATTACACATAATATTTTGCTATAGATTAATTTATACATTATATGCCAAAATATATTTATTATAATGCAATAATAAAATTAAAAATAATAAATATACATTTATATACGTCAAAGAGATAATTTGCCTAGGAATGGTGAGAGCTGCCACCTGAACTTCATTTTGCCCTTTCTTTTGCACTAGACACAACACCTGTAACCAAGGAATACTGCACCCACATATGATTCTGACACTGCTTTGCCAGTGAAGGATTGCAAGTGCTGTTCTCCAGTTCTTGCTGAGCTCCTGGGCTAGACTGAGAGACTTAAGGGCTTTCCTTTGCTTCTGTTTCTTCAGTGATTTACCCCATGGTGCCAAAAGTAAACATGGTACTGTCAGGACTGGTGCTCAGAAATGGGGTGGGTTACACACAAAATTTTACCTCTGACATGTAACTAAATCTATAGACTTCCACACCTCCTGTTCCTAGCTGCAAATGAGAATGGCCCTCTGAAAACTTAGGTCCATTGGAGGTCTCAGCAGAACATTTCTGCCTATATTTCTGGAGCTTATTTTTTTCTTAGGGAAACTTAAGCAATTTTTGCATTTTTTGGGAGAAAGATTTATTGTACAAAGGCTGTGATAAACTGCTATAAAAATTTACTTCTAGAGTTTTTATCTAATACCTACCAAAAAAAAAAAAAAAAAAAAAAAAAAAAAAAAAAAAAAAAAAAAAAAAAAAAAAAAAAAAAAAGCTCAAAAGGGCAATTTCCAAAAGTAAAAATGACTACACACAAAGCCAATTTGCTGGTGCCAATAGTAGAGGCACACGCCTGGGGTTGCAATGAAAAACAATGCATTACTCTGTTCAATGTGACTGACAGAGTCACCTCTACTGCAAAATTATGCAATCATTACAAAACAGTGTTCCAAGAACCTATGACAGGATAAAAGTCTCCTCTGGATGTCAGTAGAAGTCAAGATTTGCAGGTGGGAAGACAAACACCCATGAGGTTACAGTTGTGCTATCTCCCACTGCATTTTTTGGGGAAAAGTTTTTAACTGCTACATTTAATTGTCTTTTCAACAGAAAGCATCATTTTAAATAGGTTATGTCTAATTCAAAATAGATAATGCCAATTCCATGATTATATCCCCTCAGATTTTTGTATGCCTGGCATTAAGAGATTTGATTGCTTCAAACCTTTTGAAATGCAATGAGACACTTCAGTCAAAATGCAAATAAAATGCTTTACTTTTTTAAGATGTAAGCTACTATAAAACTTCAAAAATATGATACCAAGATCAGGTAAACAACCAGTGTTAATACTTACAGGCAAAATAACTTCATGGTGAAGAAGGTTTTAGGGAAATACACCTTTAAGTATATCCAGATTCCCTGTATCGCCTCCTGCAGCAAAACATGGTTTGTCCTTGCCCTGCATTGTGACTGCCTTCTTATAGTCCACGTAGAAATACAAACATCCTGAAATATGACCCACAAGGAAATGCCTATTTCTGCATGGGAAGCAAATTAAAGACTGTTCTGGAGAGGGGAAATCCAGAAGATTATTATTCACTTACAAGCAATGAAAAATACAAACATTTGAGGCAGTGATAAATGTCTCCTATAGAAAAAACCCTGCAGACAGATTATTTCTGTTGGTACAGCTTTCTGAACAGTCCCTTCGTTTCCCCTCAGCTGTGTCTAAAGTATAATATCCATCCGTGACTGGAAGATAAAGTAACATTAAGAACTCTGAAAAATCATAAAAGCACCATAAAGTGTAGCCAACTTCAGATTTAAAGAATGGCATTTTCTAAATTGTACAATAGTGAAGCAACATTTCTTATGCTGCCTGTATCATGGCAATAAATTTCATTGTAGGGTCAGTGTAAGTTTTGGTTATAATAAACCAATTTTTGGGGAATCTCTCCAGAAACACTCAGCATATCATTAATGACAGTGGTTTTACAGAGTAAACCGTTTGGCTAATCCTGCAGATGTAAAGGGAATTGTTCTTAGAAAATAGTTCTAAACTTGATCAGGAAAAAAAGCTAAAATGCCCTACAGCTTTTAAGTTAGTATTCAGCTTCCTGGCCTCCTGGAGTGAAAGAGCCATTCTGGATGAGTTCCTTCAGGCTCTTGGGCTGGCACAGCCCTCAGCATGTAAACATCACCAGTCAGAGGTGATGTCTGTCAGTAGGAAATTTTCTTCTTAAATGATATTAATGTTTTTTTGATCTAAAGTTATGTTCCATCTAGCAGAGACACTGGTCCTGACACAAGGGAATGTTGTTTTTTTCTTTCACTACTACTCTAAGTTATCTTTCCAAGCCGCTTTCCTCTCCGGCAGCCTCTTTGTGTGTTTTATGCTGATGTTTGTATATCTCATATCATAGAACTAGCCTGAAGGTTAAGATGCAGCCTCCATTTCTTCCTTTTGTTGTCAGCCAGCAGGTAGAATTGCTGTGCTCCTCTGTGCCACACCATCAGCTTTTTCCAGGAAACCTTTGGTCTGCCAGGAGAGCTCTTGCAAACACTGAGAGTGCCTTGTTGGCTTGCCACGTTAGAGCACTGAAGAGCTTCAAATAACATTCCTACTTTGACTGTTTTCTTATACAGACAGCTACTTTTTCTCCTCTTAGCTGGAAAGTCCCAAGCTGCCCTCATTTAGAGTCCATCATGGTAAATGTATAACAAAATCCGACATAGGCTCGTGCTGCCCACCTTTTTTTTTTTTTTTCTTTTTATTTCAGACAAGTCCAGTAAGGAAAATAGTTTTCTTACTCATAGAGGAAACTCACTTTTGTTAACTCTGATTCTTTCTCAGCAGTCCCTTGCAGGCTTGAGCAGGGACTATTTTTAGTAATTTTTATATCTCCCCAATGCTTCCAAGCTAAGATAAATTTGTTAAAGCTTTTTAAAAATAAAACACCATTCTCAAGGAACCTTTAAGAAAAAAGCGCCGCACAAGGGGAAACGTGTTCCTTACCTGTTATGCTGTAACATACTGACATTATAAAAAAAGTTAAACTGACCTGTTTCAGAGACCCTACTCATTCCTTTATCGTTCCCAAGGCTCTCTGGCTTCAGAGCTACAATGTATCTGAATGAAAGGATAGTTTTAGAAACAGGGGAATATTTCTTTAAAACCAGGCTAAACCTTAAGCAAATAAACACTAATGAACTATAAAGACGTGAAAGAGCTTCCAGGGAAGTCACCAATACTGAAATGTTGACTGGGCTCATTTCTCATGGTAAACCACGAATATTGCTAATGCCACAAAATAGTTTAAGATGGAGCTATTTGCCAGAAGTAATGAGAAGAATATTGTCATATCCACTGCTACACCACTGTACAATTTACTGCATAAAGGGCACGATGGTAGATCACTGATAGAACAGGGTATTTCTCTTAAAATATTTTCAGTAACTTCGGTTTACCCTAAGAGAGGGTTTGGCCTGCCCAAGCTACGTCACCCAATGCCAAGTTACTTTTCTACCTTTCAACTGACCCTAAACCTCCTCTTGAAAAGATGCCAGAGACCACCTGCATTCTTGAATGAGAAAGGTACTGGGATGTAGTTTGGTTGGTTTTCACTTCACCAGACTGAGTGACAAACATGCAGATATTCACAGGAATTTTTTTTTTAAAAAAGGCCTTTATTGATGTCATGCTCAATATATTCATAAAACAACCATTTATTTAATTTAAACAGCTGTAAATTTGACTTATGAAAAAAATATATGTCTCACTATGTCACAGTATCTGTAAGAAAATAAACTTAACAATTTGGTAACTTGGCCTTAATAGTAGGCACTTATTTTCTTAGAGGATTGCAAAAGAGTATAGAGTGCATTAACTGAGAAAGGAGTGAACAACTCATCATTTATCAGTTTAACCAAATCATTAAATTCACTTTTGTGAGCTAGCTACCAACTATAAAGAGCATATAAAAAGTAGGAATATAAACATTACCAACATAACTCTGAAACACAAAATCAAGACCATACAGTCACTAAGAAGGCACTTCTCGTTTCTGATTCAAGTAAGCATTCACAGTTTTGGCAAAATTCCTCACAAATAGAAGTTAAATCTAAACATACATTTGTTACTGGAACATATAATTCTATCATTCCAACATTAAATTTTATTGTTTTACAACGAAGCCTTGTCATTAACCTTCTGATGGTTCAAAAATTCTGAATCCAAAAGCAGACATTCTCCTTTCTGTGAGCAGAAAAACTGCAATACCACTGTTTCAGATCATTCTACCAGTCAATTGTCATTCGCAAGGCAAAAATCTTTATAATGGCACCTTATTAAGGCATAATCCAATTAAAGTTTGCCAATCTTTTACACAGATTTTGAATTTGATTTTTCTACTTGTTACATTTCCATATTGTTCAGGTAAATCATTTATAAATATTGATTATTTTATATATTCATCTTATGCTAGAGTGACAACTAAGTAAATTGACTTCCAGGTTAAGCACAGAGCAACCATTAGCCTTCATTATTAATGTTCATTAAAAGGAAATTAATATATTAGACTAAGAAACACCTTTTTAAATAGCTACAAACTGTTTGTCACTGGACATACCCATAATTTGATGATCTTTGGAAATTTCTGAAGAGGTTATGGTTCCATGAGCTAGCAGTAAAAGGAAGGAGTCTCATGAATTTTTGTTTTATTCTTAATTTACAATCTGCTTTCTGGGAAAAACCTTTATGGGTCAGGAAGGTGATTCTCACAACTTGTTCAGCAGCCATAAATCATGACAGCCACACTAAGGGAAATCAAGATACAAAACTTTTGAGTTGTGTAATCTGCAGTCAACCATATTCTTTCTAATAGCTGTCAGGCTGTCTGTCCCCCAGCATTTACTTCTTTAAAATACTGCATATTGTCCATCCACCAGATAACTGAGCTTACACAATATAAAAATCTAGTGTTATTACATTTCTGTTATTAAAAATGTGTTTACTCCTGTTTATAATCAAATCTCCACCCAACACCATACCCCGATCTTTCATCGCTGGTTGCATTAAAATGCACTTTCAGAAGTAAAGTTCCTTCGTGAGCATGGAGACCACACAGGGAATCTGCTTCTTCTCACTGAAGCGTGGATCATCCGACTGGGATTCAAAATTGGTGGCAACCACGTAGTTGACCCGTGTGAGGATCTGCATGATCTCAAGTTGTTTTCCATGCTCATTTAGCACAGAGCACAAAGACTGCACAAACCAGGAGCCTCTTCCGGGGTTTCTCCAGGAGTAATAACCTTACAGGAAAGACAAGGAAGAAAGTACATGGGATTATTTTTGCTCTTTTGTGAGAAAGACTAAAAATGCATACAAAGAAAGCTTAACTCTTATCACGCGTGTCACATACCCTGCTTCATTAGGGTTGAGAACAATGTGTATTAATTCTCCAAACCTCACACTACTAAAGTACCATTCTACGTTTTGGCATTTGGGAACCTGTGAGAAGTAAGATTTCACAGGTTTCCTCTCCAAGACTAAGTTTTGTGCTGTAGCAGTTCCTCTTCCTGCCTTCATTACATATTCAATGTACTTACTGAAGGTAAGGAAGGATTGGAAGGGCAGGATTCCAAGCAAACAGCATTGCCTTTGCCATCTGTAATCTCCCATTTCCTACGCAGCCAGTGTAAAAGCGGTGGACACAACACACTGGCCCAACATACAGTGGGCCTTTGTGTTTTGTCCATCAACGTACAATGTGTCATCAATGAGGGTTCCATCTACAATCCAATCAGTGTGGATGAGTGGCTTCCATCTCCACCCTGACCCTATTTTCTTTACCTGGCACAGTGGAATACGCAAACAGGAAATCAGCTTCTACTGGGATTTTGTATCTCGGGTTGGCATCTGTTTCCAGAGTGTCATTTGCAGGTCCAGAGTCAGTTTGTATACCTTCATCGAATTCAGAGCCTCTACATGCCTGAAAGCAGAGAAGAAAAATAGAATTTGTCCAATAAGGAGAAAAAAAGGTGTTATAACAATAAGTATTCATCAATATCTTTAATAGATTCAGTTTTAAGCAGTACTTCGCCTGTATCAGAACCAGAAATGCAATTCTGGGGGATAACTAATTGTTCAGTGGTAAAGTTACTGGCTTAACCGTTTCAAAATATACATCTCATATAGTAAAGAGAGGTAAAGGTGTTGAGGCTCAGTTGTTTGTCAAAGTGCCAAGGCAGTATTAGTTTATTTTATCCATGATTAATTTTACTAGTCTGGAGTCATTCTCAGAACTCAGTTATTACATAATGCCTTGTGTAGTGGGATTTATGGTCATTTTCTTTACAGTGGATTACACACTGTCATTGGTTCCTGACATGCACTGATGAAGCACTGCATTTCACAAAATCACACCCTGAGATCATCTAGTCCCATTCCCCCCTCTCAACCAGGGACAGCTACAGCTGTCCAAGTGCATGTACAGTTGTGTTTGGAATATCCCCACAGGCTCTACAGTGTGGGCAACTAGTTCTAGGTTTGACCACCCATTTCAAGTATATTGCATTTTTAATATTTTTCCATTTATTTTTTTTTTTATTCTTAATTTTCTCTTAATCATGGGTTTAGCTAAAGGTCACACTGGGACGGCAGTCCAGATTTTTAAGTTTCAGCTGTTGATCAGTAGCTTTGACTGACAGCTCTTGCAAAATAAGTCTGACTAGTTATGTAACAGGGTTGGTTGCCTTTATTAAGATAATTTCAGAGGCTATGAAGTAATAATTCCAAACTTATAATTAAAAGAAACATCATTTTAGTAGTATGAAGAATCTAAAACAGACACAGTTTTCACTTTGAGGCTGAGGATTAATTGATGGAACAGCTTAGGGAAAACCACATCTGCTGCAACTCCCCCACATATATAACACTATGATAAAAAAGAGACTTCATCCCTGTGGTATGTCAGTTAATAGTTTGAAACAGAAGTCTGTCCAGATTTAACTAATATGCAATTATTATATGATAATTTAAAAATGCAATATAAATTTTTAGGCTACTGAGGAAGGGAAAAATATGTCTTTTAGCAGAATTCAGCAATTTGTAGAGGCAACTGTAATTCAAAGAGACTTGGACAGTATTATTGCTATTGATAATTGTGTATTTTCCTTAGCCCTCTCTGTACAAGAGAAGTTTATCTTTCTGCTTTGCAGTTCATATATGACCAAGAGAAATCCTGTACAAAATTACAGAGATAATGTTCTTTACATCCATGAATCTTGTATATAAACTACCTTTTAAAAACAAACAATACAAGTCACCCATAGACAACTTCTCTCAACACATTTTTTTCCCAACACCTCCAGCAACATTCAGTAAATTAACTTACAGGGCTCTTCTAGAACAGACAACCAACAGAGCATGTTTTCCCCAGTGCAGCAGTAGGATACTAGATTTACCTTAGGGCTATTACCTGAATGAAAAATAACTTGGGTTTGCCTATAAGGCTTTTACACTTGTCTCCTCTGAACAGCGCAGTCAAACTCTTGATAGCCATGGGTCCATCTGTGCCATAGATGAGTCCTTCCTCCCCATGGCTCAGAAGGATACAGGCAAAACAAGCAGCATCACTGTGATTCTCCTCAGCAGCTACAAATCAAATACTTCTTAGTCAAAAGGCAGCAACATTTCAAAAGACAATTATATTTAGCAAACACGTTTTTTTGAGACTAAATATACATTGGGCCTCTACTGGAAGGCAGGGGAAGGAGTGGACAAAGATGACACAACCCAGTTTTTACAATGTGATGAGTACTTTGAATACAAGGATACACCCTTCACTTGACTCTGAGTCTAGCCCCCTGGAATCAACAGGCTGGATTCATTATCTAATACGACCAGGCTCTTCACCTAACACCCAGGACAGGTGCTTCACAAAAACACTCCGCATTTCTGAACTGATGCTGGAGGAAGAGGTAGGGAATTAAGCCTAATCCCTTCAGAAATCAAATCCTATACAGAAAATTGTATGTGTGGGGCTTAAGCAATCTGTTTGTTCTCCTGTAACCTTCTTTGAGCAGGCAGTAGATTCAGGGACTTCCAGAGGTATTTTCCACTCTAAGTTGTTCCATGATTCTAAATTTTTACCTTCCTTCAGTAATTTCTCCATATCATCACGGCTTCGGTCCTTGTACGTATGAACCTCAAAACCTAAGTTTTTAAAACTCTTAGCCAGGTCTCCAGCATCTTTATCAGTGCCATTGCGTGTACCCATTCCTGCCGGAAAACAAAGAATACGGTTGACTGCACATTACACAACTCGAAATAATTCACGTGCTCAAAGGTAAATTTTTAGGTTTATAATTGGTAAACCTAAACAATGTCACGGTCACATGTTTTTAAAACAATCCTCTCACAGCAACGAGAACAAATTGTGAGTTTTTGAAAATAATGCAACGTTCAGTGTAAACACGTATCTTATCCTGAAAAACGCTGGCATGTCTCCAGCACCTTGCAACATAGACCTCTGTGGATGATTCATCTCCTTTTGGTTATGCAGGGTAACACAGGCATACAGCACCCCACAGAAAAACTGCTGAAAAGAGTCCCTTTGATACCCAATAAAAAGAACTGATACACAATCTTTGCAGAAAACAAATCACTGTGTTTGCCAATGTATGGGAACAATCCTATAAAGTTGTTCATAACACAAGTATCTGTCCACTTTGAAACCATATGTGGTCTGAAAAGTTAAATGCAAGAGGGTGAACAGAGCACAGCTACAGCTATTAGCTTTTCTAGCTCATAGCTGTAGCTCAGGGACAGAGAATTTATAACATGGGTTGCAGATGCCAAAGTTCAAATCTTAACAACACAGTCTTAAACTCTGAGAAAAGGTTTAGTTTGAAGTTGGTAGAGCAGGGAGACATGGTCTTTGAAACACATACTGCAAGGAAGTTGAAAAGAGCTACTCTAATGTAAGTTTTAAAGAGCAGGAAAAGTTTTAGGAACAACTATTTATCAGAAAGGATAAATATGTTAATTAAAACTAAAACTAAAATGTCCTAAAACTAAAACGCATATTGATTATGCTTTTTAATGAGTATCTTCACAGGAAGAACATTACCTGTTTTGTCCTCAAAATTTTTGTTGTTTATAATAATACATTTACCAACTTTCTTGTAGTCCATATTATACTGGAATGTGGGTGTAACAATTCGGTATTGATTACTGAGGGAGAGCTTTGGCTGCTCTTCTTCTCCATTCTTCCTTTTTCTAGGTGAACCAAATGAAATTATTGTTAGTTACCAGTCACATGCATGGCCTATTTATCATAATTCAAACCATTCGTGCAGCCCTACCCAGTGTTTTTCCTTCTCTAATGTTTGTTTTCTTCCTTCAAGGCATAAAGATCTTGTGATTTCCATGAAGTGATTACTCTGTGTGGTTGGATTCTGATGAGGTAAAAAAAACTCTAGAGTGGACTACAGCCAACAGCAGGATACGCAGATCCTGACCCACAGATAAAACAAATGGCCTGAACATGAAGTCAGACCTTTTTCAAACTGTTTCTGGACATATTTTACATTTACTGTAAGTAATTAATGAAGGGACAAACAGATTTCCCGTACCAACTATTCCAAGCACATAAAGATATGCCATTTACTCAAAGGTATGGTGAGATTTGTTTACTCAGTCACCATCATCCCTAAATTCTCAAGATTAAGATTAAGCAGTAGGTAGTTTCTACTGATAAAGGCTATAAATATGACCAAGTCATGTGTTAATTTAGTTTGCCAAATAGCATTCTGAACTCATGCAAAACCTAAGCACATTTTAATGGAATCATCAATACCTGGAATTAACTTCAAATAAAACCCATGAAAAACCAGCCCAAACCAAAATGGATTATATTAATGGGTTATAGTAATAAATGTTCTCTGGCTATATGACTGTGTACTGACTTTTCTGCTGTGTACAGGAGTCTTAAGCTTGGATTAGAAAGGGATGCAAAGGGTCTGATTCAACTCAGAATTATAAGCAAGATTTGGAGCAAGCCCAGTTAGAAAGAATGCTCAGAAAAGGGCAGCAGAAGTTACTGGCATCTCTCTTATTTTGTCCAGTATACTACTTCCAATGCTGATGTCTGAGAGGAAAATACAACCTACTTTCACAGCTCAAAGAACTGTATAATACAATTGTTTTTAACAAAATAAGATTTTTTCCATAATTTCAACTAATTTAGGTACTTTCACTCTTCTAACTCTGACATTTTTTCTAAAGAGTTACTAAGCTCTTTGCTTCAGTAATAGCCTACAGACATGAGATTGCTATGAATCAATTAAATGTTGATTAAGTAATTTATTTTCTTATCTGCCTGATTTAACAATGGTTGTCTTTTCGCTTTAAGTGTATTCTTCTAGACTAATTGGAATCTATAGCAATCCTTCTTTAAATGATTCATCATGTATAAATGGTACTGCAATTCAATTTTAAAGCAGCTTCTTCTTATGTTTGAATGTTGTCATGTTCTATTATACAGGGCCAAATTAAATAGCTGCACCTGGCACTCTTTTTACATGTGACCATCCTAACATCATCTCCTCTTCTAGATTTCTCTGAGAGACTACAAAACAAGATATTGAATCATATCTACTTGAGGATTTTGTCTGGTACTCTGGAAACATGTGGTTTTTTCTCATAAATTGCAAGTATTGGTATTCTCCTTGGATACTGCTTCTTGAGGGCTCTGGGAGCACTAATTAAATATTCTTTGCTTAAGAAAAGATTTTACCCATTTTAAATAATTATTCAGAGCTGTATGATGCTAATACTACATCTGGCTTTCAAGTAGATCTTGTATTCTTATTTTAACCTAAAATTCCCCAAGCCCCTCATCATCAGACAGCACTCTGGCAAAGAGAGAAAAAGAAATTTCAAAACAACAAACAAGCACTCAGGTCAATGAAGAGGCATTTCCTCAGTCCACAAATTCAAGTTTCTACTGATTTATCCGGCTTCATTGATTTCCTGAAAAAGCTGTATGACTAACAGTGGCTGTGAAAACACAAAAGGATATTTTCAAGGGGATTGTACACACATTTCTGTTTATGTCCAACCCGTGAACAGCTGTGAACACTCGGGACAGATCCACATGAGCAGTACGGCATCATGTTTGCACTGTCTGCTCTCCTAAAATGCTGGAAGTAATCTATTTCTAGTCCAGAAATCAGGCAGCCACATTACCCCACAAAAAGCCTCACTGAGAACAACAGCTGGGGTTAAGTGGCGCAATAACGCAGTCACACAACTTCTCTGAAACCACTCCACTTCTGAGTTCAATAGTTTGCGCTCATTCATGCAGAAATACTCGTGAGTTTAAGGGATGTAGCTACTACTGCAGGTATTCTCAAAAGCACGCCAGAAGCTCTGTGCTGGTCAGAGTCAAATGTCACAGACAAGCCTTGGCAGCACAGTAGTGCACACAACTATCATTTCCCCATTCCTTCACAGAGGCTACCGTGGCTTTGTTCTAATGATTCCTCCCAAGCTGAACAGGTTAATGAGACACTAAAAAAACCACAGCATGCTTTGTAGGGTTAGGACTATCATTCCTTTACTGGCAGACAACAAAAAGTTCCAGCAATCTTTTGGTATCAGTCCAAACTGAATGAATAAGGAAGCAAAGGCTGTGGAGCGTACTTATCCTGGGCCTCCAATCCAGACAGAAATTCTCTTTTGAAGATTCTGTTTCCTGTGCCAACATAATGCAATATGGGAATTGCCTGACTGGAATAAACTGACTGTATAATGTCCACCTCTTTGGTTTCAATAAGCTAAATCAGACCTTGTAAATAATGAGTCCTTGAGGGAAATGCTCTGTCAGTGACAGGCTGGCTTATGACTGAAAGCCTAAAGCCTTTATTTTCCAAACATTGAACTAGACACCTGTTAATATAAATGTTTACTGCTGTTGTTCTTACTAAGCTTTCTAATCACTGTATTTTCTGAAAGGGTTTCCATAGGTTAGTTATGTGCTGTTATAAAATGTCTTAAACTATGTGCCCTCGGTTTTATTTCATTCTGCTTCTTTGACATCCAGTGTCTTTAATTTCCCTCTTTTGGGAAATAAAAATTTGAATTTCATGACTGTAAACTCATTCTTCAGCTCCTAATGGCAACTATGCCATAAGTCCTCACTCTGTCAGTGGTCACTGATCCTTCCCTTAGACAAAAATATTTTTCCTATCAGTGCTCTCACACATTTCTCGTCCTCCCCCTTCAGTCGAGAGTTCAGCAAAAGCAAAACTCCACTCTGGCACTCTCATAGAGCTTACAGTGTCTCTAAAACCAGGCCTTAGGTTTGACAACGGTATGTCTGGGAATGTGATTTCATCAAGTCTAGACTCAATCAGTGTCACCCCTATGAAAATTATTATTATCAACTTCTCACTTTTCAAATACGAAACTAAAGTTATCCATACTATTTTATCATTTTGCTATTGAACTTTTAAATTTCAGTCAAATTTCTTATAACCATGAGTGGCTGAAATTCTGTCACAGTCCATGAAGATGCATCACTTGCACCTGTAGTGGACTTGATTGTCTACAGGACTTCTATCTATCACAACAAATTTTCTTTTTCCTATACTTTGGGTAAATTATGATTTGATTATGATTCAAGATTTAAGGATAAAAATACCACTGATAACATTTAACTATATCTAAAGATTATTTAGGAAAAAAAAAAACAAACATAAAATAAAGAAATGTGTCTTAGCAGATGAGATTTTCTCTCCTTTGGCTTCCCTTCTAATGGCAGCTTCCTGCAATTCTGGTTTGCTGTAACTGCATGGACTCCCCTTGGAAGAGTACCAGTATAATGTAGGGAAAGTTCTCAAGAGAAGAGTGGAAAAAAGGGAAACATTAGGAAAAGAGTGCAATCTCCAGGGTAGATACTGCTACACCAATTCATTCAACTAACATCAACATTAACAACGATTAAAAACAGGATGATAATAACAGACAGACAATGGAGCTCTTCTAAAAGCATGAGCTGCTTGGCCTTAAAAGCAACGTGACAGCACACAGAAGAAACAGCTCTACCTGAAAAAGAACAGTCACCTAAATAGCCTTTCAGGTAGAGGATTAGATGAACAAAGACAAATTTCATAATCAGTACTGCCCAATTACAGAATGGGAGGACTTTCCTGTTTGTTTGGGGTTTTTTTTTCTGTTTGTTTGGTTTTCTAAGAGGAAGTTAATGTGTTAATCAAAGTGAACTCTAAAAATGATACTACAGAGGGATATCCAGGCTTTGAAACCCTTCTCTCCCAGGAAAGTTAGGGACTTTTGTTGCTGTACTGAAAAATGTAAGCAGATAACAAAAATGCTACAGTTATGACACTATTTAAGGAAGTTGGTGTTCAGAGATGGGTGGAAAAGGCTATACTGATTCCATTAATTTCAAGTACATAGAACAAGAGAACTCTGTCTTACTCTGCTCTATGCAGTTCAGTAAATTTGGGCTTTATTTGATAAGGAATATCTCAGAACATTATGATAGTTTTTACTCTGTCCTTAATACAATGTGCCATCATATATAATTTTTGAATGACTGATAGCAGATTCCTTTTAAAAAAAAAATTGCCTTTAAAAATATGGTGTCTTTGCAAAACTTATAATCTCAGGATCCCTTCTGGAGTCCTTTTTGGCATTGGAGAATAGTTCTATTCCAGTTTGTGTCACACTGCCAGCCCTTCTGGTGAGTCCAGGCAAGATTACACTGCACACAGTAGTACAGCAACAAAGTGCACAGGACAAATATTCTCAGGTAATCCATCAACATCCACCAGGACTTTCATACACTTCTTGCTGTGGAATGCAAGGTATCTTAAAACTGCAATGCTCTTTACTCTGTTACAAACAACTGAGATGTTTCTCTTGTGATTTTTACATTTGGGGACCTCTTCACAGGCTTCATTTAAATAAATTCCTCATTTAGTTACAATATTGTGGAGTAAGGGTATGGGACAATACATTAGTTTTAAGATCTCTGAAGAAACTTACATAGCCTGTATTGCTGATTTATTTTTATGCAGTTTGTGTGGCTCTAAGCTGCTCTTTCTGTCTAAAAAAGCCCACTCCTTCCAGTGTTGCACTGCAGTGTTTGTGACTACTGCTCATCACAAGTGCTGTTTGCTGGGGGAGAATCCTGGACTGGACTTCTTTACCTAAATAGATAGCTAAAGGATAGACAGAAAACAATGAAAATG